TTTTGTAGTTTTAATTATATCAAATTGTAAAATAAGACTAATTGAATGTGGGTAGAACTTTAATATCAAAGGTACCACCTTATTTAATAATTATAGTTTTGTAAATTAATACAATTTATACTGTAGAAATATAACACTTTTTCCTAGCAAGAATACCCCTAATTACTTTCGGTGGTATGCAAAATTTGTGGAAAACAAGTCATCAATTTTTTTATCAGCTTGTGGCAGTGTATTGTACAAATTCGAACCCTTCTTAGATAGCACATAAGTTATAGCTGCATTGATCTGCCTTGATTCAGGCAACATCCGTAAGAGCTCTTTCTCCTCCCTCATCTCCTTGGCTCTCTCCAACTATCTGAACCTTTCTTGCAGAAGAGCAATGGATGGATGAACGACTGTTGGATCAATCTGTCTATCTCCACTCATTGGAAGATGAAGAGTACACTTTAAGGAGACCTCAAATGCATATGCTCAAAATATAGGACATAGCTAGGACTTTAGATGATTATTTTAATTCATTCATTCCGGCTATTTGATTCTGTACGACTGTAAGTTTGGAATAGACAAAGGCAGCTGAGCTGCAAAGTGGACGGACCTTCCCATTATATTTAGCTTTGAACATTAATTCTCTTTTTTTCATTTGTGGACAACACAAAACTTGAACGCTGTGAACACAATTCGGACTCAAGATGTTTTTATCAAAGAAAACCATTTTATGGTGAGGAGAGAAAAGAGGAAGAATCTACCAAAGCCAAGCGCTTCTTTCTCTTTGTACATGTTTTGTTTTGTCTTGAAGCTTTTGGATAGAAATGGCATGGAAGATGAAAGTTAAGATTATTAGATTGGATCTGTGGTTGTTGGGGGAGTGAAATTTGAAATGCTCACATGTACCCTAAAGCCAGATATAGATTTCTCTCATTACCTCCAAAAAAAAAAGGAAGAAAGTCTTATGAATTTGAGATAAACGTCTATTTAAATTCTAGTTAAATACAATCAGTACAAAAAGATTTATCTTCAAATATGTATCATTCATTGAATTTGCTGAATGATCTTATCAAATCCCATTTGAATCTATAAGTCAACATATGCAATTAAGTATAAAAAACAATTTGAAAAAATAACTCTTAAAAAATAATAAAGGAGAAGATGATAAAAATTTTTTGCAATATATCAAGTTTTAAATTTTTTTTTATTTATTTTTATAATTAAGTCTTAATATCCCTCTTAATAGTAGAAAATGGATTACAAAGTTTGATTTTTTTTTTTCTTTCAAACGTAGTAGTTCATAATAGTATAAAAGAAGGCAAAAAAAAAAATTTTTTAATTACCCCAAGCTATAAAAATAAAATAGTGATCATTACATAAAAAGGGTAATTAATATCATAATTTAGTATAATTTAAATTGTATAACATTGTTTTAAATAAAATATGTAATATTCAAAATTATAAAAATATTGCAATTTATTAAAATTAATTTTACATTGATGGCTCCTATCAATAAAATAAAACAAGTGATAAAAACGCGTTGCGCACGGGTTTTCAATCATTTTGAGAAATTTTTTATTAAGAATTTATAATTTATTTTTACATTGAAAAATACATTGAAAATTTCATAAAAAAGGAATACACTAACACAGAACTTAAATTTATTAAAAATTTTATTGAATTAATAACTAATGTAGAATACTTTGAATGGAATTTTAATCTTCGTCGTTGCTGTTTTTCTAGGTAGTTTGATTGTGTACTTGAGAGCTGAATATTTTTCTCCTGCAATTTAATTACAAAACTAATTTTTAGAATTATAAAATATAATAATTTTCTATAAAATATGTTACTCAATCTTAGGGCCTGTTTGGTGTGGCTCCTAGGAGTTTCAGTTTCTGGATACTATTCATGTCTCATGAATATAAATTTTCCTCTTGAAATCTTACACTTTTAAATATTTTTTTAACTTTAAAAAGCTCTTAAACAGTAAAAATTTAAAAGTTTTAAATCCAAACTTCTTGTAAACTCTCTTTTTATTTACTTTTCATTCATTTTTTCACTTTTCTAAAAGCTAAAACTCTATTTTTTCCTTCAATAAAAATTTAAATTTATCACTCATAACAGTGCTCAAAAAGTAAAAGCTCTCACAAGTCACACCAAAGAGGCTTTTATTCGGGTTTTAAAGACAGCTTTTCTACTTTAATAGATGTAAATTTTAACATTTTGTTCAAATGATTCTTATCCTTTGAAAAATATCTTTGGGCATTCGATTTATTGGTGTAAGTTTTGCTGCACAAAAAAAAAATTATAATAAGAAATCTAATAAATTTTAAAGAAAAATAATAGTAGAGTAAATATATTTGCACCTTATATGTACCATTTTTGATTGTTTATCTAGAACTTTAATGTGTTGTAGATTTCTTAATTATATGATTGTATAAATAATGTAATAATTGACAATTATTACAGTTATTTGTTGTGATGAAATTTTCTTTTACTATGTCTGATAATTTTATAAATTAAAATATGAAAACATTAAAAAAATATAATTATAATTAAAAGCACAAATATTCAACACAACCCAACCTTTCATTTCTTTTAGAT